CTCATTAGTCAACAGAACCAAATATCAATAGTACAGCGATTGACATTTCTTTTGAGAGCCAATTTTTTTAAACTTAAACTATATAGGTAGGTACATTATTATTAACTTAAGAAGGGTACATGGTATTTTGTGGAAGAGCCACACTCAAGGGGCCAAAGAGCAGCATGTGGCTCGCAAGCTGCGGTTTGCAGACCACTAATGTAGAGTATGAGACTTCCATAAGCCCTAGTTTTACCCATAGGCCCTGCCATCCCAACTTGCCCTGGATGGGTAGCTTAGTTGGTTAGAATTTCCTTCTAATAGCCCAATGTTGCAGGTTTGATTCCTAGTCAAGGCATATACAAGAATCAGCCAATGAATGCATAAGTAAGTGGATCAACAACTCAATGTTTCTCTCTCTCCCTTCCACTTTCTCTCTCTAAAATAACTTAATAAATAAATAATAAAAAATAGATGACTATATAGCATATAGTTTGTTGCATAGTATATATTCACCACTCTAACCCTTTAATGATATTTATCACATCCTTTTCACCTTGTTTTGTAGACTTTTATACCTACCTTATATCTTCGTTATTGGTCTGAAGGCTACCTGAAGTATAAAAAAAAGTGTTAAGAAAGAATGATTTTTGTTTTGTCCATCCTCATGTATTAAACTCTTAAAATAATGCTAGGTTAGGGCCAGGATCCCTCTGAGTTTCAGGATGTTGGATAACCCCAATATTATCATGGGGAAATGTAACACCTAGTTCTGGTCTTGCGAACAGGGTGAGTGGTGGATAACTGCTTTGCTACAGCCAAGATTCCATCTGCATGAGAGCTGAAATTGCCAGTGCTGTGGGTAGGGCCTAATCTCCCTGAGTGTCAGGAGTAGTAAAAGTACCTAAAACAGCAATTTGTATTCTAAAGTCTGTGTTATATTGCAATCAGTTTCCAAATTGGATAAAACAAAAAAGATCTCTACAACAAAAATCAAAATAACTTCCACATGTTTTAAAGTTTACTATGCATTTTGAAATTAAAAAAAACACCCAAATCATACTTTTATTGATTGTGATTATATTTGCAGTAAATATATAAAACAGACAAGATTTGCACCAAATTCATGATAGTGTCTCTCCCTACAGAGAAAAGGAAACATTATGGTACTAGAAAAGAAATTTATAATGCTCTAACTTGTTAAAAATATAAATCTGTATCTAAAACAAAAATGCACCCCTAACTTGTTTGGCTCAGTGGATAGAGTGTTGGCCTGTGCACTGAGGGTCCCAAGTTCGATTCCGGTCAAGGGCATGTACCTTGGTTACAGGCCCAACCCCAGTGGGAGATGTGCAGGAGGCAGCTGGTCAATGTTTCTCTCTTCTATGTTTCTAGTTCTCTATCCCTCTCCTTCCTCTCTGTAAAAAATCAATAAAGTACATTTAAAAAAATAAAAATTAAAAAATGCAAAAATGTTGACATTTGTTAATTTTAGATGAAGTTAAACAAATGTTTGTTATATATTTTATATTTTTCATATTGTTTTAATTTTTAAAAATAAAAAAACACAAAGAAGTTGAAATACCATTACTACTTATGACTTTATTATAATGTTTTCAGAATTGAATATATCTAGGACATATGCATGTGCAACAAACAAGTACATAAAACATTTGAATAACACAATTGAGAAGCATGATAATAGATAAAAGTTTATCTTTGTATTTCATAGAGAATATACATTCTGTTTTAATGAAAGGTTTAAACAAACCAATTACCATTGAAGAATTAAGAAAGCTGATTAAAGATCTACCATCAAAAGTGTCACTGGGCTTAGATTATTTTACAACTTAGTAATAGTTAATTTTTAAAGAACAAATAATTCTAAAGCTATTTAAACTATTCCAGACAACAAGAAAATATTGAAAATTCACCAACTAATTTTCTACGCTAGCACAATTTTAATTAAAAATTTTGATATAGACAATGCAAAAAGGAAAAAAAAAACAATTTCACTTTGAAATGCAAATGGAATAATTCTAAATAAAACATTGGTAAATAAAATTCAGCAATACATCCTATGGTTATTACACCATGCATGACCAAGTAGGATTTATTCAAGAAATACAAGTTTGGTTCAACGTCAAATTTTTACCACTCTAATTCAATATGTCAACAATTTAAAGGGAAGAGTCCTAAAATTTTATCAATAAATGCTGAAAAGACATTTGATAAAACTTATGAGATATTTTTAGTAATAATGCTTTAAATAACAGGAATAGAAGCAACTCCCTAAACACGTTAGAAGTTAATGACCATTTACCAGTAACTAAAAGCAAATGTCATATTAACAGTGGATAGTAAAGAAAATTCCATAAAAGTTAAGAACCAGATGGGCATGTCTGCCATGATCATTATTCAAGATCAAAGATTCAAAACTGTTTTAGAAAATCCAGCAAATGTAATAATAATCAATATAAACATTAGAAAAATAAAATTACCTCTATTTGCTGGTGAACTGATTATATCTAGAATGTCAAAAATATTCTATTTATAAAACCCAGTGTAATTTACAAGATTTAGTAAGCTGATTAAAAAAATAAAAATAAAAAAGATATATAGTTTGTCTATATAGGCAAAAATAGCAAGTTATAAGTGAGCAGGAGAAAATTACCCATTCAGAATGTCAAAATATGACAAAAATTGTAAAAATACTTAGAAATGAATTTAATCTGATACGATGGACCTAGATGAAGAACATTATAAAATCAAAACCAAACGATTTTAATGATGTACCCAAACTCTTGAATGTTAAAGTTTAATATTATTAACATAATCCTCTAAATATATAAAAATGTGATACAATTCTGACTAAGATATTCATTTTTTTAAATGTGGAAAGAATGCCTTTAATTTTCATATAAAAGAATGAATGGCCGAAACCGGTTTGGCTCAGTGGATAGAGCGTCGGTCTGCAGACTGAAAGGTCCCAGGTTCGATTCCGGTCAAGGGCATGTACATTGGTTGCGGGCACATCCCTGGTGTAGGATGTGCAGGAGGCAGCTGGTTGATGTCTCTCTCTCATCGATGTTTCTAGCTCTCTATCTCTCTCCTCTCCCTTCCTATCTGTAAAAAATCAATAAAATATATATATATTTAAAAAAGAATGAATGGATAAGACAAGTTACATAAATGAAGGAAAAAAAAAAACTAATGAGAGGTAACTTGCTTTATCAGAGTCCAAAATTAAAGGTTAAGCCACTACAGTTAAAATAATGTGACATGGGTCAGAAATTGGAAAATGGTTGGTTTTTTAAATAAATGTGATAGTACAATCAGTTATCCAATGTAAACAACATGTATAGTTGGCCATCTATTTTATACCATATAAAAAAGAATTTTCAGTTGGATCAAACAGTGAAACCTGAACTTTTTAGAAAAAAAAATGCAGGTGTATATTTGTATGACTTGGGGTTGGGACATTCATCTGAAAAAAGACAGAAAACCAAAACCAAAACAAACAAACAAACAAACAAAACCCCAACAACTAAAAAGGAGAAAGTGATCTATCTAAAAAAAAATTTTAACCTGAAAAGTAAAATATACCATCAATAAAGTCAAGATTAATAATAGGATAGAAAAATCATAACACATATGGGCTACAAATAATTGATATGTTAATATACATCATATACTAAATATAGTAAGAATTCTAACAAATCTATAAGGAAAAGATCAAAGATTCAAAATAGATAAATGAACATAGGATAAACACTGGCAAATCACAAAAGAGAAAAGTCCAAAAAGCAAAACAAACAAACCCCCCTAAAAAGAAACCAACAAACAGAAAACCTCATTGAGTTTGCCAATTAAAGAAACAATACAACAAATTTCTGCCTTTCAAATTTGTAAAAAAGAGTGCTGAAGAGGATGCTGGAAAATAAGAATTTTCATTTTAGGTGATACATTTGCAGTACCTTTAAACATTAAATATAAGCCTACCTAGCAATCTCATTTCTAGGAATCAACCCTATAGAAATGAAAGCACTAGTTAAATAAATATGTACTATGTATGCAGCTGTTAGAGGTAGGGGAGAGAGAGAGGGGAGGGGGAGAGAGAGAGAGAGAGAGAGAGAGAGAGAGAGAGAGAGAGAGAGAGAGGGAGAGAGGGAGAGAGAGAGGAAGAAGGAGGGTGGAAGAGAGGGAGGGAGGAAGAGGGAGAGGGAGAGGTAGGAATGGGTGATTTATTTACTAAATATGCTGGCACAATCAGGTATCCAATGTGAATAAAATGTATAGTTAAATCTCTATTTTATACCATATACAAAAATAAATTCCTGAGAGGGAAGTGGATGTTGTATTTAATAAATGTAATGGCATGATCAGGTATCCAATGTGAACAAAATATATAACTGGACCTTTATCTTAATATTATATAAAAAATAAATTCCAGAGGGAGAAGTGGGGAGGGAAAGAAGGATAGAAAAATGAAGGGAAAGGGAGAAATATCTGCAGCTACTGATCAGAAAGAATTAAGAAAAGCAATGACAAAGAAATGATGTGGCTTGTCATTTTTTCAGAAACAACTGCAACAAACTTTTTGTAAAAGGATTGGAAAATAAACATGGGGTGTGCATTATGTTCTTAACACTTGTTATCTGAGGGGAAGAAATAAGGAAGGTCAGGGAAAAGGGGGAAGGATATGGTGAGGGGGTACACCATTAATTTTTCTTTAGTTTTTCACTGTTCTGATCGTAATGAACACTTTTCAATTTCCTATGAGCACCAGCCACTTTAAATTTTTCCATTTCAGAACAAGGCAATATCGGAGTTACCAAAGCACACTTGGGCAAAACTGTGGAACTAGTAAATGTACAAGATTTAGAGGCACAGTAAGTAAAAAGTAATAATAAATTCCTGACTCTCTGATACCAAAGCTGTTCTCAAAAGTACAATTACAGTAACACGACATATTGTACATTTAATAGTTCCACAAATTTTGCAAAACACACACCATAAATTTAGGGGGTTTTCACCAAACCGTAGACATAAATGTGAATATCATCATCAAACTTAATGAAGTAGACAGACGGCTTGGCCACCACCTGATGGATGAAAATGCCGGTTCTCTTGGACCCATCATCTTTGGCGTGCTCCACCTGCTTGCCCACGAGGCTGTCAATCACTTCTCCAGGCTCCCGCTCTGCTGTGGGGAAATAATAGTTGGATTCTGGAATGATGCGCAGGTCACCATCTTTGTAGTCATCCAGCAGCGTGTACATGTAAAGCACCGGATCTTTCTCGTAGGTGATGTAAAACCAAGTGTCCATCACGGGGGCTCGTGCCAGGACCATGCCCTTCCATTCATCTTTGCTGCCGTGCTCCCCCTCAAACACATGCTCCACAGCCTTGCCAATCAGGGAATCTGCCAGGCGGGAATCAATGCGAGGAGTTGGCACTCTCTCGGGAAGGATCTCAAGTGCTAAAACTCTCTTATCCCGGTGCAGTTCCAGTCCGTACACGCTATCTTTGCCATCGTATTTGATGATGTAGAGGGTGGGCTTCACAGAAACCTGCTCGAGCACCGTCCCTTTCCACTGCTCCACGGGCTCATTGCCCTCCTTCCAGCCGTGCTGAATGCGGCAGCCCACGATGTTCCTGCGGGTGAGGAAAGTGGGCTTGCGCCGCTGCTTCCTGTGGGTGTGCCTCTTCTTCATCAGGTAGGCAGACACACCATCTACACCCATGGGAGGCACAGTTGGGGGCGACATGGTTCGGGGTTTTAGGAGGCTTTGGCAAAGTTGCCACTGACTTGCCCGATTAAGCTGAGAGAAAGCCAACACCCTTCAACACGAACTCTTTTTTTCGTGATCTCTTCACCAGCGCTTGGCAGAAACGCTCTAACTTTAAACTTGGGACTGCGTGGGCCTCTGGATACAGTTCTGCCCCGCCGGGGGTGGGGAGGGGTGTCTGCAGCAGCGGCGGAGGCTGTTGCTGGAGATGGCGCGCCCAGCTCCCGCCCAGACTCTCAACCCAAGTCCCGAAATGACCACTTAGCTGTTCCGGATGGCGCCGCAGTTTTGAACGGGCGATGCCGAGGGAGACCGTTGGAAGAGCGGGCGAGGGATGAGCGGGATGGATGGCTGCGATCGCGAAGGCGCCGGCGGCGACGGGTCTCGGACGGGTCCCGGCGGCCTTGACTTCGCGGCGCCGCGCGGTTCGGCCTAGCTCCGCGCCCGGGCTTTTGCCGCTTCCAAACTGGACCCTCGGAGCCCGCCGGCGCCTCGCCCCGCCCCCCGCCTCCCCCTCCTCCCGCTCCTCCCGCTCCTCACGCAGCCGCAGGGGCCGCGGCGGGGGCGGGTCAAGGCGCGCAAACGGTTGGTCCACTGAGTTCCAGGCGCTGGGTCCTTCCTTCCTCACGTGCCCCACGCCCGCTTCCCTCCATCCGGAGCCAGACTGGCCGGCTCCCCTCCTCCCTTTCTCTGGCCTCCAGGCCTGCCTCCTCCACAGCAGCACCATCTGCTTTCTATCTTCCAGGAATTCCTCACAGAGCCTCTACTTAAAAAATAATAATAATATCATTCCACACACTAAGTTTGTGCATGCATATGATTTTCTTTCAGTCAAAGGGAAAGGAGACTAGAGAGGGAAAAGCCTGTGTGCAGTCCACCATCTTGTGCCAAATTATCTTTATATTTTCTATCGGATCATTCGGGAATGTTTTTTCAATAATTTTTTTCCTCTGGATGAAAAAGAAAGACATGCAGACATCGTGGAGCTTTACTACAAACCAGTAAAGATAAAACTATCCCCAGTATCCTTAATCTTACCATCTAGATATGCACAAAATGTTGCTATACTTTCTCTTTCATTAATAAATCGATGCATATATTTCAGAAAAAAAGGGAGCAGATTTTATTACTGTATAGCTTTTAGTTTTCATTTATATCATGAACATTTTCACAGGTTATTAAATACTCTGAGTAACTGACTTTTTAATGGTTCTGTAATGTTCATTTATATGGGTGGTCCATTAATGGTCTATGAAAATATAGATAATTAAACTAGTATACATTCACACATGGATTAATTGAGCTAGCATAACATATTTTCAAAGAATAGTTAGTGACATGGAGGTCTTCATTGAGATAAGAACAATGTGTGGAAAAAGGTTTTTGAATAAAAATTGTAGCCCCAATTTTGTAGAGTTAAAAAAGAAAGGGTCTTTGTCATAAATATTTGTTGTTTTTCTGACTATAAATATAATACATTCTCATATGGAAAATCCGAAAGATGGCAAAGTGTCCATAATTTCCCTATTTCAAGTTACAGAACAGTTATGAGGATTAAAAGGGAACGTTTATAAAACTTTTAGTCCTATATCCTACTTTATAAGATGTCGATAAAAAACCAGGGAAGTATAGGCCCTTCATTCTCATTCCTCCACTCTTCAGTGGTGAGAAGAGAAGATAGCATATCATCAAGTGTAAAAAAGGCATTAATTCAGAAAGAATTGTAGAAAAGCAGGGTGAGAGCTGCAAGGCAACAAAATACTGGTTGTTTCCACATTTCACTAACTTGTACGACAAGGAGAAAAAAACTTAACATTTGATAGCTAATTGGGCAGAATATGTATTGATTCCTCAATTCCCCATGTCTTCCAGTCCAAGGACTTTAAAGATGAAATAATGCAATAAATTAATTTCAAGGAAACAAGAAAACATATATACTAAAAGGTATTTCCAAACCCTTTAGAATGGCATAGTGATGTTTACATAGTCACACATATATATGGCCTTAACACTGAAAGTCAGAAGGTATGTGTAAATGTCATGTCATTATGTTTCACAAATAATTTCCCCAGGCAATCCCCCAGACCAAAATGTGCCAAGCTTTTTTTGTTTAGAACAGTTGACAAATGAGAGACCACCCAGAGGGCACATAAAGGCATGGAAAACAATTTACTCAGACTCTTTAGTTGTATATTTAAGAGAATTCTTGCTCACAGCCCCACAAAACAGCCTGGGAAACAAAAGAATTTTTAATATTCTTTCTTCTCTAAAACTATGATTTTGGTGTTTAGATCATTCCCTAATGTTATGGATTGAGGAGGCCTTACCACACTATGGCAATGTTTACTTTGTCTGTCTGCCCGCTAGAATATAAACCCATTTGAGAGAGGACTTTTATCTTGCAACCCAAATGCCTTACAAAGAATAGGTACTTGATGAATATTTGTTAAAAGAATAAATAAGTGGTTTCAGCTGCCCTGCTCAAGAAAAAAAAAAAATGAAGCAAGTTGTCTTACACAAGCCTCTCAAGATTGGAGCCCTGGTGATTTAAAATCTCCCGCAGCAGTTTTTATACTTTCAAAATATCCAGATCACTGACCCTGTGAATATGTGTCCATAAGTCTGAAAATGACTAGGAGAACACCATTAACCTGCAATATATGTATAATGCTATCTACCTCAAATGGTAGCTATAAAGATTAAATTATACAAATACAAGTGAATTTCTTAGCAGATGAACTGGCTAATGGTAGGTACTTATAGTCTCCTAACATCTAAACTTATGCTCTCCTTTACACTGAAGCCCTCTTGGTCAGGGCTTGAGTGTGAATCAAAGAGGTACTGTTGGCAGGATTTTTCTCTTATAGCCAGTTTCAGAGCAATCTTTCAAATGCTGCAAGTTTCTGGAAGCTCAATTTCTGGGTAAATAAAAAGTTATTTAAAATACGTTTGGGGGATACAGCATTAATTTATAACTGGAGGGGTGGTGGAAATAAGCATAAATGTTGTTAATTCCATTGTATAAGGCAAATTATAAATACCTGCTGAGAAGTACAAATTACTGGAGACCCAAAGGAGGTAGTGATTTGTTATAGCTGGGGAAATTGAAATGACAACTTGAAAGTGTAAGAGAAAAAAGGAAGACATTCAGAAGGTGGTAGAATAGTGAGGCCTTTTCAGTATAAGCAGCAAATAGCTGGAGGAAAAGCACAGAGGGATGCATGGATATAGGATATGTGAAAAACCAGTCAGGAGCTTGTGGCTGGAGCACAGATTTGCCAGGATAAGGAATAGGGGATGTGGTTTGTGGTGGGAAGTAAGGCTAGTCAACAGTCTCAAATGCAGGAAATTGATCTTACATCCACTCTGTGTGGAAGCAGATAATGTTCCAATTCTTCTGACAGTGTGGTGTTGGCAGGATTGAAAGAGAGCTAATCTTCCATGTCTCTTCTGGCAGAAGCAGGCAGTGCTTCCCTAAGCAGGAAGTGTTTTCCTATCAGAATAGTAGTGTAGGTGGTGCTGAGCATAGAGCTGATCTTCCATTTCTCCCTTAGCAGAAGTAAGCAGTGTGGTGCTCTGATCCCTTTGCCAGAGAAGTGTCAGCAAAATTTAACAGCGAATTGTTCCTCCACAGTCATCTGGTGGTAGAAGGTACTGAATAATAGTGATCTCTATTCTATAGCCTTTCTTCACCCGCTCTTCCCATATCAACATAACTATGATGAGAGTAAGCAATGTAGAGTGAGGCAGGGCTAGTTAGCACTCCGTTTCCGTAGATCCTTGCTGGCAGTGATTAGCTGAGTTTCCATCCCCATCCACCATCAGTGAGGCTAAAAGAAGGGAACAAGATAGAACTATATGTATTCAAATTTCCCTACAACTTTGGTGTCATGTCCAGTGGCAGATAAGCCTCCACTCTCACTTGGAGGCAATGGGATTGTATAAGTCAGTACCACACTTTCACCATGAAGAAATGTCAGATCTCAGAAAGGTGCTAAACTTCTATCCTTCCCACTTACGTGCAATATAGCAGTGTGAGTCAGTTCTCCACTTTTGTAAAGGTGATCTGTAGAGATCCCATAAGAAGCCTAATATGCACATATACCTGATCCTCCAGCTACAAAACAACAAAGGGGGTATCTGATAAAAGCAGATTAAATAGAACACAGAGATTCATAATATAATACCAAAAACACACACAATGATATAATAAAAATCAAAATTCATGCAAAGAGCAAGGGAAATCAACAATTTGAATGTGACAAGACACTTACCAACTGGAAATTATAGAATTATAAAATAAAGTAAAAGTATGTTGGGATGAAATCAATATAAGTCTAGAGATAACAGAAGATAGAACCAGCACATTTTGGGCCAGAAAAATAAAATTTACCCCATGTGAACAACAGAGAGAAACAGACTGAGGGGGAAAACACAAACAGTCTCAGGAAACTGTGAGTCAACAAATAGTTAACATTTACAATTGCCTTAAAGGAAGTGAAATTCTTAGCTATAGGACTACCAAACCAGGTAAAGGACCTGTATACTGAAATTAAAAATGGTAATACCAGTAATTAAAGAAGACATAATGGAAGGACATACCATGTTCATGGCTTTGAAAACTTAGCATAGTAAATACATAAATTCTGTCCAAAGTGATCCATAAATTTAATGCAATTTCTAGGAAAACTTAAGCAATGTTATTTGTAGAAATAGATAGGATTATTCTTAAATTTATGTGGAAAAGCACAATATCTAGAATAGCTGAAACAATTTTAAAAGAAAAGTATATTGTATAAAGAATCATTCTAACTGAAGTTAAGACTTATGGTATAGCTACAATGATAATAAAAAAAGGGTGATGTTTACAGAGCAATAAACATATAGATGATGACATAGAAGAGGGAACCCAAAACTTTACTCACACAAATATGTCCAACTGATTTTTGGCAGTTCAAAAGCAATTCAATGGAGAAAGG